ACCCAGCCTTCCCTTCTGCTGATCCCAGCAGCTGCTGAGTGATGCTCTTGGCCTCTCCTGTGAAGCTCTCCCAGCCCTGCTGTGTTCACCCTGCAAGGCACCAGGCATTCCCTAGCATCCCACTGCTCTGGCCAGGGCTCTTGTCCTCTCTGCAGATCTTGCAGGCTCTGAAGGAGAGCGGAGCCTTCTTCCCTTGTGGAACATCCATCAAAGATTTCTGGCTTTCCCAAATGATCCTGAGCCATGAGTCCCACCTATTCACAAAATGGAAAATGGGCTCCACATGGTGACAATTTCCCCACTTGTCCATGGCCTCCCCATGTCACCCCACCTCAATTTTGGGGAGGACCTGGTGAGTAGGTGGTTTCAGTAGGTGCAGAAGCTGTGAGAACGGGTTGTGAGGACATTGAAAATGCAGCATGGAGGCAACAAGATCCTGGGCTTCAAGCCGTGTCTGGTGGGAGCTGAGCTCTCCACATCCATAGGGATGCTACCTTTGACCCTAGATTTTTGCTAAGTTTCCTTCTCTGACAGCTTTGAGCATTCAGGTACCCCCAGAATGGTGGGTTTCTCCCTTCACAAGACACCTTTTTCTCTGCACACTTCCTCTCGCTTTTTCCCTTTAATTCCACTTTTCCAAAATGCATTGGCACTAGTGCCAGGAAAGAAGGAGTTAATTCCACAGCAAAGATCTTCTGTCACGCTGTGGATAAACCAGTAAGCGACTGCCCATGCCTTTGCTGGTCGCCACTGGGCAGCACTTCTGCAACGCTGGCAGGATGGGGGAAATACTTGCAAGCCTCACTCAAGGCTTCTGCTCGGCCTGGAGGGAAGAGAGGCAGCTTTAACTCCAGACCATGAGGAGCAGCTTGTCCTCCCTGGGCAATAACAGGAGGTTCATTCCCAGTGGCAAGTCTCAGCCTGGGCGAGCTGAGTCGTCCTTTTTGCAGTGGTCTCCTCCTGGGGCAAAGCCATTGCGTGCCACAGCACAAAGAGGGTGCTTTGGGCACCTGGTATTTTTGGGAACTCTTTTAAGCCCCATCCAAACTGGGACTGTCTGGCAGTTCTCTGCAAGGGGAGAGATGCCAACAGGGTGGCCACCGTTGGAGGTTTGTCCTACAAGACCTACTTGTTTGTGTCCTGACGTTTTTGACACAAAGATGGTACTGTTGCTGGGGAAGGAAATGAAATCTCGGTGTGACACAGGCTGGATGTGATCAGACTTTGTTTTGTGCAGCAGCAAAGTTGACCTGAAGGTTCAGGAATATTCCAATACAATTTGGGATGGTGGGATATCTCCAAAGCAAGGCGACATGTGTGCCCAGAGGACAGCAGAGTTTAGGGTGATCTTGGTAGTGAGCAGCTGAGTGAGGAAAGGTCATGGCTCAGTTAAGAACAATTTGGAGCTGGCTGTGATGGGAAGGGCTGGGGCTGACTTTGGTGGAGATATCCGAGACAGACACGCACTCAGCACGGGTTTAGGGATAATTAGATCCATCCACACTGAGAGGGGTTCAAAGGGCCTCTTCAAGGTCCCTGAGCACATCTCTTGGGTTGCCAGCCTGCTTTCTGTTGTTCATTACGCCCTCTTTGAAGTCTGAAAATCCCTATTATTTCACGGTCAATTTGCTGCTTTTTTCCAAGGCCAATATTGTCTCCAGCAAAACTCAGTTTCTGTAGGTTTTAGTTTGGCAGTTCAAGCCCTGCCATCGCCATCCTCCAGCGTGGCACAACCAGAGGGTGGTGACGAGGGACATGAAGATCCTCCCTGAGCATCTCTCAGGTCCAGGGGTGAGTGTCCTCCAAGGACCTCCTGCACCCCTGACCTTCTGCTGGTATAACCCCACTCTGGGTACTGGTAGTACCAGATCCAGCCTTTTCATCACAGCCTTTCAGCAGCAGCTGAACACAGAGGGAAGTGGGTGTTTTTATTGCTGTTGAATGCAGGGGAAAACCAAGGAGCAGAGGGCTAATGTGACTTGTTCCAAATTATGCAGTAAATAAGCGGCACAGTTGGGAAAAACCCAGGATCTTCAGAGTCCCCACTGTCCCCACCAGATCAGCCTGCCTCCCAAATGTTTACTAAAGAGACTGGAGTCTGATTGTTTTCACTTTATTTTTAATTTTCAGACGCTTCCCTCTTCAGGCTGTTTTGCCTGTTCCGCAGTGGCCAGTGTTTAAACAGCACCGGTAGGAAATGTTTGTGAAATGTGCCTCAAAAAACACAGTCCTGCTAAGATGTTCTTTTTATTCCTGGTTTAGACAGAGGCTTAGGATTCACAAAGAATGAATCTCTTGTTGGTAGGAGCAAGTTAGGCAGCCGTTTGTTTTGGAGCTGTCCTTGTCATGACTGAAGGCAGGACTGATCTGGGTAGTGGGAGGTCACTTGTGGTCCTACAGTAAAAAAAGTCTTTACAGTTAATTATATTCTATAGTCTTGTAGCTCCTCTGGAAGCCAAGGGTCTGAGCTGGACCCTTGCCTCTGGGAAGCTTTGCTTTGACACTAGATACAGCTCCAGTGGAAATTATGGAGCTGATGCTGAAATTATTGGGTGAGGTTTTCTGGACTGAATTGCACCGATGACAAGGCTAGATGATGCTAAGTGTCCCTTTGGGTCATGAAACCTAGGAATCTTCATGGATATCTCCAAGTTTAAATTGGTATGTGGGGTTCTGTGGAAGTGCTGTTCCATCTGCTGCTGACAACGGAGATGATGGAGGATGCTCCACGTGTCAGATAAGGGTTGGGAAGGACAGCAGTGCTGGCACAAGGGTTTGCTCCAGCCTTCATCTTGGGAATACAGCTGGGGAAAACCATCTCAGGACAGAAATAACATCTTGGAAAGATCTGGAGCAACATCTGGCTGCAGAATAGAGTGCTGATGCAGGCAGGGGAAGGCAGGGATGGGGCAGCAGATTAGGGTTGGAGGTTCAGACCCACGTTGCCCTCTGGGCCGGTCAGGAATCCCATTCCTGAGGGCATGAGGGTGTTTATGGGGACAAGCCACAAGCCAAGGCAGTGACAGCCGGTGCTTGGCGTGCATGGCACAGTGCCAGGCATCTGGAGGAACCTGGTGAGCCACGGCACTCGCAGCATCATCCTGCCAGGGAGCTGCCTGCTCCTGTGTCCAATTAAACTGCTGGAGCGACCCAGAGAGGCAGCAAGGGTTGACTCAGGGCTTGGCTGGGATCCTGGGATCAACACTGCAATTCATCCAGCAGAGTAAAACAAAAAAACAAAGGCGCTGGGATTTTTAATAAGTGTTTAAGGTCTTGGATTTGTGTCTCATCAGTCATTTGATCCAGCCACAGGACTCGTATTAGTGGGTGGGAGAGAAATCCTGTCTGAGCATGAGACGCTGTGGGTTTCCACCCGACTGGGAAGATATCCTTGTGTCTGGTAGGAGAAGTCTATTCACAGTCGCTCCCTGGGGGCTGCCAGGCTCCTAGCAGAGCAGTTTGCACCAGATGGTCCCTGCAGCATCCTGGGGATGTTCTCCCCCAGATTCCTGGCTAAGAGCAGGATGCAGCTCGAATTCACGCTGACCTTGGTGCAGTCAACAAGAGCATCGACCGTTGTGACAGACTGTGCCCACCGTGAGATCCTTCAGCAGCCCTGAGCCATGGAAAGTGCCAAGTGCTCCAGTGTTGTTACACAGGGCTGTACATTATACCAGTGTTATGTTCAGCTCGTTCAGGATATTTCCATGCTTGTTCAAATGCTTCATCGTAGTCCTTTGCAAAGCCCCTTGTTAATTTGGGGCTCAGTGCCTGGATCTTGGTGAGCACCATGCAGAAAGCATAACCATGCTGGCATGCCCAGGCATTTGCTTGGAAGGAACTGACAAGATCTGGGTGCCAAGGCTGTAGGAATATGGTTGGGCCTTGTGATTCAGCAGGTCAGAGCTGCTCACACGTCAGTCTGGAGATGTGGAGGAGAAAGGAGCAAATGCTTCCTGCATCAGCCCTTTCCCAGCCATGCTCTCCCAGCAAAGCAGCCACCGGTGACATTAGTGGGGTGACATCAGTGGTGTCACCCTGCCTGAAGGCACACAACCCAGTGAGCAGGTTAGAGACACCAGAGCAGTGCTCCAGGATGTCCCACTGCAGAAACGCAGCTCCTGAGAGCTGGAGATGAAGCAGCAATCCCAGCGATGGTGCTGCTGGTGCAGCTCAGAGCTGCCCAGAGCACCTCCTGCATGGCTCCTGCTGTCTCAGTGGGCCACTGAGCTGGGCATAAAGTGCTGGAATTTTCCTCTGAGGAGAAGTGACCTTCATCTGAGGTGACTCTGAGCCTGCCGTTGGGATTAGCGGTGAGGGAGGTTTAGCAGCGAGAAGCTTTTGTCCTGCTGTGAGGCTTTTGGTCTGTAAGGGCAGCTGTGCTGAGCACTGTGCAGCCTCGTGATGCCCTTACGAGGGTTAGAGGGGCTGATGTCTGCACAAAAGGATCTGGAGCAAGCAGCTGAGCTGTGGGATGAGCCGTCTCCCACAGGAGCCTGCTGCTGGCTCCAGGGTTTTTCCAAAATGATGTCCTATGTGCCCTGAGCTGTAGAAGATGCAAGGTGAACTCAGCACCATGGCTGCAAGGGCACCAAGGCAGAGATGGTGTGGAGTTAACAGGACAGGGCTTGGAGAAACAAGGGTTAAAAAAGAGGAGGGAGAACTCCTCCAAGAATAGTAGTTGGGGTGTCAAAAGTACACAACACTCCAAGTGTGATTGGATCTGGAGCACTGCCATGGAGGTGAGGAAGGCCATGGTGGGCAGGTGCAGTGCTACTTTAGCTCCTATTTCTCCAAGACTCTCTGGCAGGAGTGTCTGGAGAGTCCCATCCACAGCCAGGAGAGCAGGGCTTGCCTGTGACCTGAATGACTTGTGACTCCTCCCACCCCACTCTCCCTTGGCTTTTTCCTTCCTGTCATCACTGGCTTTTTCCTTCCTGTGCCTGGAGCTGTGTGGTCCCCTTTCCCCTTGAGACACATTTCCTCTCCTGTGATTGCAGGTTGCTTATGGGACCACGGAAAACAGCCCTGTCACCTTCATGGGGTTCCCCAATGACAGCATGGACCGGAGAACCGAGACAGTGGGATACATCTTCCCCCACACAGAGGTGACCATGACCCTCTCCACCCACTCCAGGTCCTCTGCCTGCAGCAGACCTCCCTGTCTGGTGCTGGAGCTGGGACATGCCACCACACTGGGCTCTGACTAAGCCCTTCTTCTCTTTCAGGCAAAAATTGAGGATCCAGAAACAGGGAAGTCTATGCCTCTGAACACGCCAGGGGAGCTTCATATCCGTGGCTACTGCGTCATGTTGGGCTACTGGAATGACCCTGCCAAGACAAGTGAAGTGATCACTGCTGAGAGGTGGTACAAGACAGGGTGAGTCTGGGAACAGCCCCACTCCTCCCAGACTGTCCACACTGGAAAGGAATACATGGGTGTGTATCGGAGTGCTTGGCTGGGATTTCCAAAGCAAGGAAAACTGACCTAATTTAACCCTCTGGTCTATCTGTGACACTTCAGAACAGCTTTTAGCACAGAGCCCTTGGTGCTGAGTGTCCCTGGAGAAGGGGATCATCACTTGGCCACTGGTGGATGGAGGGACTGTGGGGCTACAGTGCAGGGGCAAGAATTGCCTCCCCCCTAAACCCTGATGCAGTGTGGATGCTGCCAGTGGCTGAAGCAGGAGTCTTTTGATCTTTTTCGTGTGTTCAGGTGGCTCCTCAGCCTTTATCCTCTGGATAGCCTGACTGGGTGGGAGCATCAGCCATTCTTCCACCTAGCTGGGATAGGATTTGGAGAGTGGTGTCATTGCAGGGACCTCGGGAGCCTGGATGAGCACGGCTACTGCAAAATTATAGGCCGCTGCAAGGACATGATTATTCGTGGTGGAGAGAACATCTACCCAGCAGAACTTGAGCAGTTTCTCCACACCCATCCCAAGGTTGAGGAGGTCCAGGTGAGCGGGAGGGAGGTGATGTAGGTGAGCAGCTGTTTTTTGGGAAACCTGTACACAGAGATTCTCGGATTGCTGCTTGGGACCTGGTTGTCTTCCCGTTTTCAGCATCAGCTGCCATGTAATATTGGTTGGCAAGGAGGAGGGAGAGGCTCATGGCATGGGAGGGGCAGGTAGAGCTCCTGAAGTGGGGCACATGGATTTGGGCAATCCCCTTGTGCATCAGCTGCACATCTGCAAGCCTGTCATTCTTCACTTTTAAACTGCTTGTCCACTTAGCTCCCTCTGAAATTCTTACTTGGAAAGCAGTCTGGAAGGACAGTTTTTACTAGTAATTACTCAACTCTGACATCCAAAAAGACTGCTTCAATGAGTCCCTGGAGATGAGGAGTGAGACTTTGTTTCACCCCTTCTCAAGACAGCAATGATTTGCAGCACTGAGCAGCTGCTCCCAGTCTGCTGGGATTGTTCTCCTCCAGGTTTTGTGCCAGACAAGTTTCCCCATAAATAAACTGGTTATTTAGTCAGTGTTGTGCCTGTGCCAGGCAAGCATCTCTCCTTGGAACAGTCCCAGTGCAGATGGGTTGCAAACCAGCCCTGTTTATGTGGTTTCTAGGGCTTTCTGTTACTGCTCTGGACTCAAAAGGATCGACGTGTCTCTAGGATTTTGAGATACTGGTTCAAGGCAGGGAATGACAGTAGGATTGTTGTGGAATAGTGTGAGCAAACTTTGGAGAGAGCTCAGGCTTGGGAAGCCCATCTCCTGGTATCACGGGCGGGGGTCCACTAAGATCTGCGATTATAAAGGTTTCAAATAATCCTTTAATTCAACTTCATCCCTCCCCTGCCACTCCATCTGGAGATCCCAAAGCACTCGTGGCAGTCTACCAAGTCTCTCCGTTGGTTGTGAAACCTCTTGCCCCATTTTTCGGGAAGCAGAGTGACAACAGGTCCGTGTCGCAGGCACGATGAGCTGGTCTGGTCTGACTCAGCCCTCACTCCAGTCACTTTGCAAAACCAGAGGAGGAAGGTGCTGGCATCCAGGTGCTCAGCTTGCTCTGCCACCTTTCCTCTGGCAAATGGTTGGGAACTCCTTCCAGGAGGGCTCGATGTTGTGTAGAAAGCCCCAGTGGGATGGTCAAGCAGCTCAAACTGCCTTTACACAGCCCCACACCATGATTCCAGCATCCAGTGCTGTGGGCCAGCACACAGACCCTGCCAGAGGACAGGGCTGTCCCCAGGGGTCACGCTGTCCATCTGTCCCAACCAGGTGGTTGGTGTGAAGGATTCGAGGATGGGAGAAGAGGTCTGTGCCTGCATCCGACTGAGGGCTGGGCAGAACTGCACCGAGGAAGAGATGAAGGCTTTCTGCAAAGGGAAGGTGGGTCTCCCATTCTCAGTTCCCTGACAGACCAGTACACCCAGTGGCTGCTGGGGACTGGTGGATGAAAACCCATGGATTTAGAGCATTGGGGGACCCAGCCCTGGCAGTGCCAGCTGGGCTGGTGTGCTGTTCCTGGGGGGTTGTGTAGCCATTGTTTTTCTCTTCCTAGATTTCCCATTTCAAGATCCCACGTTATTTTGTGTTTGTGAGCCAGTACCCACTCACTGTCTCAGGCAAGGTAAGAGGGGATAGGGGCAGGGGAGGAGCTCTGGCCTCCTGTCCCAGCTGCTGCCCGAATCTCTCTTCCTCCTCCTCTCTGCACTTTATTCCAGATTCAGAAATACAAGTTGAGGGAGCAGATGGAGAAGCTCCTTCAGCTCTGAGATTGGGATAAATCAACTGGAGGACCAGCAGCTCTCAGTCTGCTTTTCACCTGTGCCTTGGGCTATGCAGTGGAGACCTTCCCTCCCTGACATCAGGCTGATGGCACTTTTAGTCAATAAAACAGAGCGCCTTTTTTTCCCAGTTGGGTTTGTTTCTTTGCCAGGACAAATACTGTGGTGTGAGGAAGGGATGCTTATTGCTGGAATTCTGTCCAGTTACTGAAAGACCTTATGAAGATTTAAAAATCTTGTATATCTCTGAGCAGTTTGGCTGCAGCCATTTCAGAGGAGTTAAACGTATGCTAGTAGGTATTTCACTGACATTTTTTAAGTCCTAACACCCTGGTCTGGCTTCCCAGGGTAGGTGATGCCTTCTCTGCTTGGGTGTTGTGAGACTCCTGGGTCATATAATAACAGCTACTGAACTTGAAATGAGGGGCAGGGGGTTCAGAGAATGAAACTTTGCATGGGAAGGGGCTCCCTAAAGCTGGCTGGAAAAGCTTATCCTGTTCCCACACCTCCCCCAGGTGTTTCCCCCCAAAAAAATTCTCCAAAGTAGACTTGGCATGGTTTATTTTGTTGTTTTGGGCAAGACAGACAGTAAGGTTTTTGCAGAAATACCAAAATTCCTGTCCTGTTGGCAGTGCGAAGCACAGCACACCTGGGACAGCATTTTACGGGAGTTATTTGGTACCTCCCAACCATGAAACACTCCTGTGGGAAGGGGAAGAGCAGAGCTCCTCTTCCTTGCCAGCAGAAGTGTCCCACTCCAACTGGAAAGCAGATAGTGTTGCTGACAACTCTCGCCAAGGCTGTCTCCCTCCTGCTTCCTTCCCGAGCAGGGCTAAGGTTGGGCCTCCTCCGTGCTGCAGCTTCTTCTAGTGGGTGGAGGGAAATGATGCAACAGGGAGAGAGGGGGAAGCCTCAGCGAGGTCTCAGTCCTTGATCTCCCAGCTGGGCTGTGGGCTCTACCCATGGAAGCAGACCGAGTGGACAAGTCCACTGCTCGTATCTGCTACCTGAAAGAAAAAAGCATGGATGGTTTGTGTCAGACCCTTTCTATTCAGTGTCTTTCCAGCAAGTTCCTCCCCTGATCCCAAACTGCTCGTGGGGCTGGTGTCAGCACTGATCCTCCACATTTCACTCAGGTCTCCTCACTCCCCTGGTTTTAGGACTCTTGTAACGTTCCTTCCTGAGGGAGGAACTGTTACCTCTATGACAGCAACTGCAGCCAGCGACCTTGGGGATGCAGTGGATCCCTGCGATTGGTGTCTAGGGAAGGACTTTTTACCTTCCTTTGCTTCCCACAGCACTAACCCAGGTGCAGGACAGGCCTCCTCCCATCCCTGTTTGGTAACTCCACCCTTGGCACAACCCCCGAGCTGCCCAGAGGTGCCCCACTTGCTGACTGTAGTTTGGGGGCAGTGCATAAGAAATGAAGGTGGCTCAGCCCTGGCTGGCAAGGGCAGGCACACTGCTGAGAAACACAGTGAGCCCCAGTCACAGCCAGCACAGCGGGTACAGCCCCTGCCACCCCATCCCTGCACCCCACAGTTCCATTTGTGTCCCAGGAGTGGTGCAACATCATCCAGAGGTCTGAGCCCCAGCAGAGCCTGGTGCTGGGGAAGCTTTCCCTACCATCCCCATCCCTTTCCTGGGGCCCATCCAGCCCTCGCCAGCCAGGACACCTGCCGAGATGTCCCATGGCCATTCCAGCCTCTGGGATGATGCAGCCCCGGCTGTAAATACTCACGGTAGAGGAAGAGCTGTCCATCATGACTGGCAGTATGGGCTCGGTGTGTGCAGGGCTCCAGGCACCATGGCTTTCTGCCCTTACCATGCCTGGGTTCTGCTCTTATAGCCCTCACTGCCTTCTGGGGAACTCCGGGCAGCCGGAAAGGTTACATCAGGGGTGGGTTACACAAAACTACCCGTTCCTGGCCGCGAAACGGGAATCTACGGTCACAGCCTTTGCCATGGACATTCCGGACTTCCCCGTGGCTATTAATAGAGCAAATTAAGAACTAATAACGTTGGGATTCGTCAGCAGCGGGTTTGCACAACCTTGCGTGGGGACAAGCAACGGCTCCCTCCGCCGAAACGCTGGAAAACCCTTCCCGGCCCCGTGGAGCAGTCGGGGGAGGATGCGGGGGCAGGTTGCGGAATGCTCCAGCCTCGTCGGGACCGTGTGTCCGGGGAGGACACCGCGAGAGGACACTGACCCCGGCACCCCCGGCACCGGGAGAAGACGCCGGCCTCGGCATCCCCCGACACTCCCGGTGCCGGGGGAGAACACCGTCCCGGCATCCCCGGTACCGGGAGAGGACACTGACCCCGGCATCGGGGGAGGACACCGACCCCGGCATCCCCGTCACTCACAGCGAGCATCCCCGGCACGGCCCCGTTAGGAGCGCAGGGGTTCACTCCCGATCCCTCCCCTTCCCCCTCGCCCCGCCCCGGCTCCGCGCAGCCGGGGGCGGCCCCGCTCGGTGCCCGCCCGGGGCGGGCGGTGCCGCGGCCCGCGGGCCCCATGGCGGCGGTGAGGGGGTACCGAAGGGCGGCCGTGGCGGTCGCTGCGGCGCGGCCTGGCGGGGGCGGCCCGGGACGGGGACCGGGACCAGGACCGGGTCCTGCCGCGGAACCGGCCCCGCAGCCGGTCCCAGAACCGGCCGCCCCCGCCACAGCCGTGCTCTACGTGCACGTGAGCGGGGACACGGGGTGGGACACGGGGACACCGGGGCTCGTTGTGTGTGCGGGGACCCCGGGCTTACACTCGTGGGGGTGCATGTGGGTCCTGGGGCTTGTACGCGTGGGGAGAGGGACCCCTGTGTTCACACACACGACGGTGTACAGGGACCCAGGGGCTTCCACACGCGGGGTGTACGGGGACCGCGAGTTCACACACAAGGGGATACCGAGGGACCCCGGGTTTGTACACGTGGGGATGCACGCGGGTCCTGGGCTTGCACACGTGGGGGGACACATGGGACCCCGGGGCTTGCACTGGTGGATGTGAGGGCTTGGGGCTTGCATACACGTTGTGCATATGGGACCCTGGGGACCCCGGGGCTTGCACGCGTGGTGGGGCAGCGTGGCCTGGCAATGTCATGGGGCACAGGTGGGGCTCCCCAGCCATGCGCTGGTGCAGGTTGCTGCGGGGGTCCCTGAGCCGTGCACATGAAGGGTCACACCTGTGGGACATGTACCTTGTCAGGGGCACTGGGCTAGGGCTGTCCCCCCTCAAAATGGGGTGCCTGGGGGTGGGGGCATGGCCGTCCCCCACACCCCCTGTGCCCATAGTGGCCCTACTGCCGCAAGCGCTGCTCCTACTGCAACTTCAATGCCTACGTGGTGCCGGCGGTGGATGAGGCGGCCGTGCGTGCCTGCCTGGTGCGGGAGGCACACACCCTGCTGCGCCTCAGCCAGGTGCACAGGTGGGTGCACAGAGGGGCTCATGGCAGGGTACGGGGGCCTTCAGTGCCCACCTGCAACTCCCCACCTCTGCCCTACAGCATCACCTCTGTGTTCTTCGGTGGCGGCACTCCCAGCCTGGCCAGCCCTCACACCATCGCGGCGGTGCTGGAGGCCGTGGCGGGGGCTGCCCATCTGCCCGGCAGTGCTGAGGTCACTCTGGAGGCCAACCCCAGCTCCATGGACACATCACGGCTCACTGGCTTCAGGGCAGCCGGTGTCAATCGCCTCTCCATTGGCGTCCAGGTGAGAGGGGCTCTCCCTCGCGGCCCTGCAGCCCCCCGTGACCCTGCTGTCACCACACTCTTTCCACAGTCACTGGACGACGCCGAGCTGCAGCTGCTGGGCCGGGAGCACACGGCGGCGGAGGCGTGGAAGGCCGTGGAAGCAGCGCGGGGGCTCTTCCCCGGCCGCACCTCCATCGACCTCATGTTCGGGCTGCCGGGGCAGAGCCGGGACGCCTGGGCCCAGGGGCTGGAGGCGGCGCTGGGGCTCTGCGACGACCACATCTCCCTATACCAGCTGACGCTGGAGCGAGGCACGGCACTGGCGGCACAGGTCCGAGGGGGGACCCTGCCCTTGCCCCCCCAGGACCTGCTGGCCGACATGTACCAGACAGCCCGCACTGTGCTGGTGGCCGCCGGCTTCCGCCACTACGAGGTCTCCAATTTTGCACGCAAGGTCGGGTACCCCCCATGCTATGCCCCCACCATGCCATGCTGCTCCCCAAGCAGGCTCGGCCCCATCTCACCCCATGCCACTCTCTCCCCCCAGGGTGCCCTAAGCAACCACAACCTCTCGTACTGGTGGGCTGACCAGTACATCGGTGTGGGGCCAGGTAAGGGGGTGAGGGGGAGCCAGGGGCATGTGTGTGTGGCCATGTGCCTCCTGAACTCTGTTGTCCCCCTCCCTCACTGCTGCAGGAGCTCATGGGCGCTTCATGCCACGGGGTGAGGGCAGCTGCAGCCGGGAAGCCCGTGTCCAGACGCCGGAGCCTGTTGCCTGGATGCGGGAAGTGCAGAGCCAGGGACACGGCACCAGGAGTCGGGTGGTGCTGAGCCCACTGGAGCAGTGAGTACCAGGGTTCCCCCATGCTCCCTCCCCATCTGTGCTGCCCCACAGCTTTCTGTGTCCCCACAGGCTGGAGGAGGTGCTCACCCTGGGACTACGCACAGATGAGGGTGTCACACATGAGGTGAGGAGCCACCCATGGAGGTCCCCCACATCAACCTACCACTAATCATAGAATCATGGAATGGTTTGGGTTGGCAGGGACCTTAAATACCATCTTATTCCACCCCCTGCCATGGGAAGAGACACCTTCCACAACACCAGGTTGCTCCAAGACCCATCCAACCTGGCTTTGAGCACTTCCAGGGATGGGGCAGCCACAGCTTCTTTGGGCAACCTGTGCCAGGGCCTCACAGGGAAGAATTTCTTCCTAATATCTAAAGTAAAACTACCCTCCAGTTTGAATCCATTCCACCTTGTCCTGTCACTTCAGGCCCTTGTCCAAAGTCCCTCTCCAGCTCTACTGGAGACCCCTCTGGGCACTGGGATGCTGATGCCCCATCACTAGTGACCCATCACTGATGCCCCATCACTAACGCCCCTCTCTTGCCCTGGGCATACAGCGCTGGGGGCACTTCTCCCCCCAGCTCAGCCTGCAGGCCGTGTTCGGGGTGCCAGGGGAGGCTCGGGTGCTGCAGGAGCAGGGCTGGCTGCTCCTGGATGGCAGGTGAGCCCCGGGAACCATGTGGGGAGTAGGGGGGTCTCCCCTGGTGCCCTGGAGCTCACCACCCGTCTCCCCCAGTGGCCTGCGGTGCACCTGGGCCGGCCTGGCCGTGCTGGACTCGCTGCTGCCCAACCTGCTGTGCCAGCTGCAGCGGCACTGGGCACTGCCCGGTGCCCACCGAGGGGGAACCCAGCGGGGGACCGACACAGACGGACACGGTGGCCAGAATGTGGGGTCTGTGAGCGGCCACAACGGATAATAAAACACAAGAGCTGTGTGCTGGCTGAGGGGTCTTGGGGCAGCGGCATCATCCAGGGGGGTTTCCCACAGGGCAGGTCCCAGTGTCCTCGGTGGCCTAGCACCCCGATGTCCCAGAGCCCTGGTCTCCCCGGTGTCTTGGTGCCTGATGTCCTGGTGTCCCCAGTCTCCTAGCGTCCCAGAGCCCCAGTGTCTCCGTGTCCCTGAGTCCCGGTGCCCCACTATCCTGGAGACCCGGTGTCCAGGTATCCTGGCATCTCCCGGTGTGTCTGGGTGTCCCAGTATCCTGGTATGTCCTGGTGTATCCTGGTGTCCCACTATCCCACAGTCCCAGTATCCTGGTATGTCCCGGTGTATCCTGGTGTCCCAGTGTATCTCGCAGTCCCTATATCCCGGTGTATCCTGGCGTCCCAGGGTATTCCGCAGTCCCTGTATCCCAGTGTGTCCCAATGTGTCCCGGTGTGCCCCGGCCGTGCCGCGGCCGCACGGCGCATGCGTGCCGGCAGGGGGCGCGCGGGGCGGTGCCGCGGTGCCCCGGCAGGGGGCGGTGCCTCGCGGGGGCCTTGTCGGGGCCTGTCGCGACCCGCGGGCTCTGTCGGGGCCGGGGCCGGGGTCGGTGTCGGTGCCGGTGCCGGTGCCGGTGCCGGGGTCGGGGGGTCGGCGGGACATGGCGTCGCAGCGAGGCAGTCGGCCCCAGAACCGGAGCCCCCCGGGTACGGCCGGCGCGGAGCGCGCCTGGGCAGCGGCGGCCGGGCCGGGCCTGCGGCCTCAGCGACGCCGGGGGTGGAGCCGCCACAAACAGCCCCTTCCCACCCAGGGATCCCCGTGTCGTTATTCTTATAGTTTGGGTTTTTTAAATGAGCCGGTCCCAGCGGGAGGGACGCGCGGGTCAAGGTGGAGGAACAGCCCCCGGTGCGATCCCCTCGGCTTGGCCCGGCCCGGCTCTGCCCGGGTTTGGCTATTTCAGAGCTGTTTTGCTATTCAGGAGCTTCTGGAAATCCAATGGTTTGTTGTGCTGGGTGACTGCAGGGAGGCTGTATCCTTGTGCTAGCAGCTGGAGCAGGAAGCTTCCCGCGAAATTTGTTGTTCCTCCTGCAGGGAGCTCTATTTATCTGTATTTATCTCATCTGGAATAAAGGGTGAGACAGTTGAATCCTGCTTGACCCACTTTGGTCCTTTCTGCTTCTGAGAGTTTGATTTTTCCAATTACAAAAGATGCTGAATTCAGTTGTTCTGTGAAAGCTTAAAAAAAAAGCAAACACAAAACCAAAACGTAAAGTGGTCAGCTGGAAATGATTAACCAGGCTGAAAGAGGAAGGTGGTGTTTCCTTGGGAGACTGAAGAGGAGGTCTCTTCATGTATTTTCCAGGCAAGAAGGAAAAGACCTCTGAACGGCCCAGTTCAGCAATTTCAGAAGAGCCCGAGCCTGAGCCTGAGCCCAAGCCTGATCCGAATGTTCTGCAAGGAGAGGATATCCAGGCACTTGCAATTAAGGTGGAGGACCTGGAGAAAGTATGTATTTCCACTGGGCGAAAAAGCTGCCTTAACTGACACACTCTTTTTATGTGTTTAACAGAGGGTGCAGCCCATTTACTTAAGCCAAAACTCTTGCAGTTGAGTTCTTACTCCATTTTGTCTGTCGTGCTCTTTATCATGATAAAATGTCACATTGTTAGGTGCAATGGCAAAAAATAAAGAATTATCAGTCTTTACACAGTACTTTCAACTGGAAGGATAAATCATCTGCCTCTCCAACTTCATGGTCTCATAAGACCTGTAAGTTGTTTAGTAGCTTTCATGGCTTTCCTTCCAAAACTTGAGTCACAGTGTGTGAGTGGAATCATTTGACATCGAGTGACACAGCAGCAGAAATCTCTTGGGAAAGTGATTTAAAACTCTCCTTTCCCTGCCCCTGTTATAAACCGGAGTTCAGAGGAATGAGACAGCAACTGAGCTGGTGTCTCTGCAGCTGCATAATGTGCCTCATAGGGGAGGAATCAGAGAATCATAGAATGGTTTGAGTTGGCAGGGACCTTAAAGATCATCTCATTCCACCCACTTGCCATGGGCAGGGACACCTTCCACTAGCCCAGGTTGCTCCAAGCCCCGTCCAACCTGGTCTTGCACACTTCCAGGGATGGGGCAGCCACAGCTTCTCTGAGCAACCTGTGCCAGGGCCTCACCACCCTCACAGGGAAGGATTTCTTCCCGATATCTAATCTAAACCTACGCTTTTAGTTTGAATCCATTCCACCTTGTCATGTCACTCCAGGCTCTTGTGAAAAGTCCCTTTCCAGGTCTCTTACAGTAACTGTACTGATATGACCTTTGCATATCCTAAAAGCATCAGATGGATTAAAGGTGAGTCAGTGTGTACCTAACTGCACTGTTACTGTTTATTTCCTGCAGGTTCATGCTCCACGCCTTCCCCATGATGCTGGGAGAATTCCAGTTAGGAAGAATTACCTCGTTCGAAAATACCTACCCAAGGAGGTGACACATCTTGTAGCACATCCCGCTTCTCCCAAGGCACCCAGGCAACCACTGACTTTTCCTGGTAGGGTTCAACTTCACATCTTATCTCTGGGTTTTGGTTTTGCTAAGCCAAACTTTAGTGACCTGGCTCTGGGGCTGGGTATTTTTTTTGTGTGTGTGTTGTAGGACCAAAAGAGTTTGCTGATGGCTGCGAAGAGATTCTCCCTCATCACATTTTGGGAAGTGTCCAGGAGTTTAAGATGGAAGTCTGGGCCAGAAGAAGCACTCGGGTTAGTTTGTAAAGTTAGGAAAATGCTGCTATGTGGCACTTTTCCAGAGGTGGAGCGTGGTGCCAGCAGTACCTTTCGATGCTTTCCAGCACCTATCAGGAGCAGGTCAGGGCTGAGGTGTGGTTTTCCCAGCCTCGTCACACTCTGCAGGGAGGGTTTGCCATCAGAGAAACTGCACCAGCAGGTTTTGGAGGACCAGGTCATGGAGGGAACAATTACACAGGCTTCCTCTTCCCTCTGTGCTCTTGTGTTGGCATCAGGAAAGAGCTAGTGTTGCAGCAATGGCATTGCTGGAGTCTAATTACTCAGATAAATCCTTCCGTTGTCTCTTGAGTGTGTTCCTGCTGCCCTGCTTTTGTTCCTCTCAGAGTGCTAATGTAAAAGTACAGTCAATCAGAATAACTCTTTTCTCCTGCCCTCTCCCATTCTTGTTTTGGTGTGCATGAAGAGGTTCATTCAGTGCTTCCTTTCTCATCAGACAGCAGATGTTATTGAGGTTCCTCGTCCGGATGTTACTGCAGCAGCTTTGAAAGAGAAACATGGAGGAGAGAAGAAGCAAAAGGCTCCTCAGGCCCAACTAGCAGGGCACAGAGCTCTCCAGAACTGGAGCCATCATATGGCAATCAGGAAAAAGCAAGAGAAACACCTAGGAGGTGAGACAAAGCTGCAGAGGCCTCCTTCTGTAAAATTCTGTGTGTAGGTGAGGGAGTTTGATGTCCCCACACCAAACTGCAGTGGTTATCACCTACCAGGGTTAATCCTATTGCCATTGCAGTGTAATTCCATGTTCTCAGAGCTCCCACACGTGCTAGTGGCTGTGGATGTGGTGGGAGGGTGAGCTGGTGGCTCTGGTTGGGGCAAGGACAGTGGATTTGGCAGGGGCCAGTGTAAATGGGTTACAGGTGAACAACAATAGTGTCAAAGGGTGTGCCCAGAGGTGCAGCACCGATGATGCGACATTTCCTCTTTACAGAAATTCTTCAGAAGCCAGAGAATGAATTGATGATGAACATCGCGGAGAATTACAGGCAAGTCATGGAAGAAAGGGACCTCATTGACCGGAGTCTCCCCTACCTCCATCCTGGAAAGGTGAGAGCCCCACATCCTGTCTGTCCTGAATGTGCTGCTCTTGTGAAACAGCACAGACACTGGTGTGATGAGTAACATCCCTGAAGGGCTGTCGGTAGGTATTTATCAAAGCCACTCTTGAGTCCTTCAGCCTGGTGTGTGAGCAGAGCTTTCAGGGATTTTAAAAATAAAACCAGGAACTGTGCTATCCATACTACTCAGAGGAAAGTGGGGATGAGCAAGTGCCATTTCTGGACTCTCAACAAAGACTGTCCTGCCCAGGGAAGTGACATGGGAACATGTCACAATTGCTGTTCCAGGGGGCAGAGAGATCTGATTGATTCAGGCTTGGATTTTAGTGGTTGCCACGGAGAAAGGGGTATGGGCAAGGCAGGAGGATTATGGGAGGATCCTGTGTTAAAATAATTTTTTTACATTTATAGCACTGTCAAAGAATTTGCATTTGTGTGAAGCTTTATTTTAATATCGTTCAACCTTCACGTAGCACTAGGTAGAAGAAAGTTCTTTTGTCTTTGACAGCAGCCTGATAGAAATTTTGGCTTGCTCTGCAGAAAGGGATAATTCATAGACTATTAAAATGTTCATATAGGCAGGATCAGATCCTTTCTAGTCCCTATGAAAATAGCAGGTAGCTGTGCAACTCTGTATCAGTGGGAGCCTTGTTTTCCACCGCAGGGATTCCGAGTAGGAAGCGAGTTCTGGAGCCAGCCCGACCATATTGGAGATGAACTCACCGGCCTGATGCTGACACTGACTCGGACGGAACGTGGGGACCGAGAGCCAATCACTCATGTGGGCAAACCCCGCACTGTCCAGAAGGAAACGGGTAAGGGAGCACTGCAGAGAGGTGTTTCCACAGAAATGGGCCACAGGTGTGGAGGGAGCAGCTGCTTCCCAGTCATCTGTTGAGCCTCCTCTTTAAAACTCCGTGAGGCCTAAATTTGGCAGAGAGTGAAATTTAATAGGCACGTGAGTATGTAGAGAGTGAGCTCTTGTGTGGGTATTTCCACAGCTCTGAAGCCCCCAACGAAGATTCCTTGCCATCTAACCTGGGATAAGAGTCTTTTCCTGAAACATCGGCGGCAGGAGCTGAAATCTGTCCTGGAGGAGCTGGGTTTTTATAAGCCGGTAAGACCAGAGGAGCAGGGACATTCTTTGTGTCTCTTGTTTCTTGTCAGTAGAGTAACATAAAATTGCCAAGAACTGGGTCTGAAAAAGCATTAGGAGTCTAAAACTTAGCCCCACAGTACTTTTCTTGGAAGTTCTGACATTTCCAGAGGGCCACACCCATGAAGGAGTTGTCTGGCCTCCCAAAGTGTTGCGTGGAGTGGTCTAGGAGCCTCAGAATAGGACCCCAAACCAGCGGCATGAAGCTGCCAGGACCTAGGCCATGAAAAAACCTGCCAAATAGTGGTGTAGGACTTTGATTTAGTGCCCCGGGACAGAGGGAAGACATGTTACCCATGTGGAAAACACACATCTAAAATAATCTGAAGGCAGGTAGTCCCTCCTCCTAAAAACAGAATAAACCTCACTTTTTTTGTCTTTGAAAGCTGTCTCTGGGGATGAGAAACGTGTGTGAGGGAGACTTTTCCCATTCACGGATCATTTGTAGTGGGGAATGCAGTCATCTAGGATTCTTGGGAAACTCAGAATTGGTTCCTTCCCGAGTCTCTTGAGCATTCTTTGTATACCTCTAAAAACCATTGTAGGAGCAAGATACTTCAACTTCACTTTCCTTGACTGAGTTGGTGCATTTGGATAGTATTATAATTTCCTTTCTATATGAAAAAAGAAACCCTGAGTTGATCATTTTTGTGTATGTCCAGGATCTGGAAGGACTGGAGCTGATTGGTAAAGGGCAGCCGTTCACGTCTGTCTCAGCAGAGGCTTCTCCATGTTCCACTTCTCCATGTTCCACTCCTCCTGAAGAGATTGAGTAAGCTTTACTTCTTGGCAGAAGTAAAGAGTTTTGGATATGTACCACCAGTCTGTAAAGGTACCCTTAGCTGTTTTTAGCCAGAACGGAGAGGAACCTCCAGTGGGCACAACAAAAGGCATATTTTAATATAATCACCAGATTTAGAAATCTTTTTGCCTTGAGGCCTTGTGTCTAAGGAGCAAGGCTCTGTCCTTAAGGAGAGGAGTGTGTGGAAAAGCGTTAGTTGGGATTATTTCTTACAGGGTCTTGTAAATTATCCCTGGTTCTCTCCTCTCTGAAAGTGAATTTTACTCCATGAAAATGCTGGCTCTTGTTTTCTGTAGCAGTGACTCCTGCAACGTGGCTCCAGAAGAAGAAAAGCATCTATCTTTAGTTTTCTGTGGCAAGCCTGCTCGTTGGATCAAGGGCATGACTTCTTGCAGGGTAATTGTGAGATTTTAATTGTTTAGTCAAGCTAAGCCTGTGTGAGTTCCCAAGTCACGGCTGTACAATGGGTGTCACTCCCAGGCCACAGAATGGGGAATTTATTCTGAAGATAATAGAGTATCCCTCTGTTTGCTCTGGAGAGATGTAGGGACAGAAGGGGTTGCTCTGGCTGTGGTGTGAGCTTAGATTCCCAGGCTCTCTCTGTATAATGACCACTTCACTGGACCTGCCTTACAAGTTCTGCTGAGGTTCAACCCCTTATTTGAGCTATGACTTCATGCAGGATAAATCCTGCCAGATAGAGCAGAAATTGTTATCTTTTTCCTCTTTGTTGCAGAATGAAATTGGTGTTGCTGCCCGGCTCACCTTCGAGACTCTGGCTGGTGAGGAGGCCGAAAGCTTCCTCACGGTGAGCAATGATGGCACAGCTGCCATCTGGTACAGCTGGATGAGGCTGCCCCAGCAGATTCCCTCCAGAGAAACCAAGGGGAGGAGGATGCCATGTTTTTACTTTGATACCAGACCAGGTACGAGACCTTTGTACCTCAGCCAGAGAGCAGGTATTCGGGAGTTTCCTGAGATGTGGAGTCTGACTAATGGCACAGCACTGCTGGGTGATTCTCCTGAGGAAGCTCCTGGGTGTCAGAGCTGACTCACCCCAAAAGAGCTGTGCAAGGCAGATCCCTCTCATGAAACCTAAAGGAAAGGAGGTTGCTCCTACTCTGAGTGCAAATGGGCAGAATATTGAGAAGTGAATCATTTTCTGATGGCAAATGGACCATCATCTGCTGGAGAACTGAGCTTGCTGTAGAAGGAGCATGTAGTGGAAATAACACCAGTTCAGTAGCATGGGGACTGGGAGTAAATCTGGAAGGAGAAGAATAGCTGGATGAAGTGTGATAACCAGCTAAACTATGGTGAAAGAGTCTCCTACAGAGACAGGGACACTTGGGGTGGGGTTGGAAAAGGGTCAAGTTAACCAGGTGGCTTCTTGCAGACCGATGCATTTTCTCTCTTATTTCAGGTGTAATTTTGCCTGGAGAAACTCGGAGGTTTTCCTTTCTTTTCAAGTCAAGGAGAGCAGGCATTTTCAGTGAGCCCTGGGAATTTAGGACACATCCTCTGTTATTAGGAGGAGCTCTGCTGCAGGTGACCCTTTGGGGAATTGCTGTGTATGAGGATAAATTGGCTGACTTCAGAGAGAATCTGGAGGTAACCAAGCATGTGACTGGGTAACTGTGAGCTTTGAACTTTATATGCAAATAGAGGATAAGGGTGGGAGTGAACAACTGGTATTTTTATTACTGTGTAATTAGGGCTGGGAGTGAGATGATTTACAGAACGTCTGTACATACTTGAGTAGGTTTGCTAAATAACATGGGGGAACTTTGCAGTCTTTTCTAATGTTGTTACTAAAGACATGACTGTGTCTCCTAAAGTGTTCACGCTGGCCCTTTAAAAATGAATTTTCTGTTGGTAATTAATTTCATTAGTTACTTAGTGGAGATGGGATTGTGTGTTGTACGCTACGATAATTTAAGGTATAAAATGAAAATTACACTACGCTTTGAAAAGCATAGTTTGAGGGAGGATTTGTAGGGTTTGTTTGAAAAGCTGTTGGCAGTACTGCTGCGCTCAGCGGGGTTTGCAGTTATTCTTGTCCTTGTAACCCTGTGTAATGTATGCGTGTGGTTACTGGCGTGGGAGTGAATTTGTTTGTGTGTTTGTATGTGGAATGGGGACTCGCACATGCTGTTCTCGTTGTGGTGCCTCAGAGTGACCTGGCTGCTCGAGAAGGTGCTGCTATAGTCAAAGACAATCTCAGTGAACTTCTAGACCAAGTTCGGACCCCAGAGCGCACCCCATCTCCTGCCTATGCCACCGAGGAAGAGTTGTTCCACAGGAAGAATCCCGGGGTGATGTTTGCTATTTGATGGGTAACTGAAGTAACAGGGAGGGCAGATCCATGGGGCTGGTGCATCCCTGGGTCTCTGGAGCTGGCAGAATCTGCCATGGAGGCTTTAACAGTTGGGTTTGAAGAGGAAAGGCAAAACTCATGTCTGTTTACTTTTTCCCTGTTATCACAGTTTTATTATCAGTATCAAGTGGTAAAGCAGCTGCACAAACTATGGAGACAGTACATGACTGTGCCTTCAGCCTTCGAGGAGAAAGTGCCCTCAGACCAGAGGAGCACTGCAGAGGAGGACACGGAGTACCAGGAGAGCACTGTGGAGCCTCTCCCTGCTCAGAGCAGCACCACGGAGCTCCCAGGTGGGAAGAAATCACTAGAGGAGGCTCTGAGGCAAAAGATGAGCATTGAGGAGGAAGAAGCAGGCCCGTCAGGATGGAACCTTTCCCTTGAGGACTTTAAACAGGTAGTCAGCTCTGTTCCCACTGATGCTGTGACAAGCTGATGGTGTTTTCATTTCCCTTCAAACAGCCCAGCCTGCCCCAGTGTGGAGCCCACCCAAAGGTCTGCTGCCTATGTCCTGGGAGTTAGAGATGATTTATGATGTGTATTGGCTCTGCTGACCACACCCTCAGTGCTCTTGTAAAGAGATTCCCAAGAGAGACTTTGTGGGCTGTTGTGTGAAGAAGAAAAGAGAACCAGACAACATAATAGATATTTTAAGCTCTTCCCCCGTTAGCTTTCTGTCATCCCAGGACTGAATGCGGGGGGCAGGCTAGTCTTACAGCCTCCCGTGGCTCCCCTAAGGGCTCCTTGCCTTGGAGAGTCCTTCCTATTCATCAGAGAACTAAGGGGGCACTCATGACAGGCTGTGGATAAAGTACAGACCTCCCTAGATTAAACCAAGAGTGGTTTGGATTCTGTCAGCGGTTTTTCTGTAGTGCTCTCTTGGAAATCTCTCTGCTTCTTTTATAACTAAGCTTTACTTGGGAGCCTTGCAGCTCACTAGAATCCCTGTTCCCCAGCACACCTGTGAAGTTGCAAAGGGGCTTACTGTCAGTCTGATGGGGGAATCTGGGATTGTTCCCTGGATCTTGGGGACCTTGGCCAAATCCCAGCCGTGTAGGAAGCCACATGTGTGAGTGTAAGCGCCCAGTGCGCCTGGTTTCAGACTGGTGTCCAGGGAGAGAGCCACGGTGGTTCCATCGAGCTCAGGGCCCATGGACTGGGAATGAACCCTGAGAAGTGCTCCACGCACTCTCTGTCTTTTCTCTCACAGGCCATAATGTCAATCCCTGGGGAAGAGCAGCGGGAAGAAGCACTGACCCAGCTCAATAAGGCAGCTCTGGAGCTGTGTGTTGAACAGAGGCCAGTTCAGTCAGACCTTCTGTATCCACTCTGGTATGTTCCTTTGCAAGGAAAAAGCTTGTGAAAGCACTGTGTGATCAACAGCCTCAGCGAGCTCTGTTGCAAGTGTTGTGATTCAGAGTGCAGATAATTATATGAGGTCTAGAAGTCATCTTTACACTCTGTTTTTTTTATAGCTTAATTGTAGCAGCTGTCTAGGACCCAAATGCCTTTTTTTTTTCCTTCTGGAGATAAGTTTAGAATATTAAATGCATGTAATTTTGGAGAGTGTACAAGATTATTTCTGGCAAGGTTATTCTAGTCTGTATTTAGGAAACCTTTGGGTATTTTCTGTACCCTTTTACTCAGATAACTGTCTCCTCCCTCATACAGTCTCTCTGTTCTTTGCTCAGGCTTTCAGACTGTAAACATATCAACAGCTTCTCGTTGCTTCTAAATTAGAAGGATGCAGGTTCCTCTTGGTAAACACAGAGCAGGTTGATGCTGATTTATCAATGTGTGTCATGTTGAGGAGCAGACCTAGTTTCACAGTAATATTTATGAGTCCCTGTGAGCCTGTTGATTTGCAAACCTTTGAGACCTTGGAGGGATCTAACATGAGGAAGGCAGTTTAGCATCTCTCTGCACAGATATTTAGACTGTGGGTGTTGTTTTGTTGGTTTAGTTGTATAGAGCAGCTCTCAGCTGTAAGGTGCCTTTACTTCTGGGCACAGGGTTAAAACAAGGTGGCAATTGCTGCACTGTCTCCCTTCTGATCCTGATCCTTTTCTCAGCCTCCAGCTGTGGCGGGGAGCAGTTGATGATATGGTGAGTCACGCTCTGAGGCTGAGATCCCTGTATGGCTTGCTTAAGAAGGACACCTATGCAGATGCTGTTCCAGAGGAAACAGGTAAATGGTAGTTTTAGCACAGCAACTGCTTTCTGTGGACTGTTGGAAATCCAGAAAACGTGATGAATTTCGACCGAAATTTCAATTTCAGCAGGTCCCCCTCAAAGCTTTTATAAGAAAATGCATCAGAAAAAAAAGGCAGATTGTGTGACAGTCACAGTACTAATTGTGATCTGTGGTTTGGCATCAGTAAAAAACCACCTCACAAAAAAGCCTTTTAATTCAGCTACGTGTAGCTGTGGTTTTCACACAGACTGACCCAGCAAACACTGCCTTACTATTAGCTGTCTTACAGGCTTGTTCTGATACACATCTGAGACCTCTTCATTCCTTATTTAAACAAAGTACTCTTCAAGGTATTGTTTTTCAGTGCAGTACAGCTCAGATTAATAAAAAGAGGGAAGTACATTGCAAAAGTAATACACTCCCACTGTGTTAGTGCAGTGGGCTGGTCTTTCTGGATGTGTGGATGCTTTTGGGTAACTGAAATTCTTTCTTTGGTAGAGGAAGTAAAGCAAGGAGGAGAAAAAAAAGGAGGAAAGGAAGACAAAATAGCCACTAAGAAAGAAGAGAAAAAGGATAAAGAACGCAAAAAAAGTAGAGCGACACCAGGGAAAGAGAAAGTGGTATGTGTTGGGATGCCTGGTGAGCCCTGAGTGCAGGGGACAGTGTGAACAATTCTGAGGTTGTGTATCCTGAGTTTGAGCCGATTTCTAACCCAGTGGAAGAGGTGCTGCTCCTGGGAGGTGCATCTTGCAACAATCTGAGCGGTGTTCTGACCCATATCCCTTTTTTTCTTGATCTGTCCCTGATTAGGAACATCAGGGCAGCAGAAAGCTGAAAGCGAAAGATGAGAAGCGGACACCTTCCATTGCATCAGTGAAGGTGAAAGAGGGAGCAGAGCCCCCAAAAGTAAAAGATGAGAAGCGGGTATCTGCTGCTTCATCACTGAAGGAGAAAGAGGGAGCTGTAACTACAGAGGGAGTAGAACCTCCTCAGGAGCAGGTGGACTCTGTTTCATTTGGAATATACCAGGAAAAACTCTATATTGAAGTGAGTCTGACCAAAGCTTGTATTTGTTGGGTTTTGTCCTTTTCTTGGGGTTGTTGTTTGCTTGTAAGTTACACTGAGGCTCAGGAGGAGAGGTAAACATTTTTTTAAACTCAGAAAACTGACAGACATATGTCCCTCATGCTGCAGCAAGGTAAGTGTGAAATCCAGATTAAGATGCCCTTTATTCCAGCCTGGAATCTGTTAGAAGAAATCCAGCCATCACATAGCCACATGCGGGACTTCTATCTGGGATGTCTTCAGCATGCTTGTGGACTCTTGAGGGATCAGCTGAATTAATTGTACCTCAGATAATGTTAAACACACTTCATAGCCAGAGAAGTTATTACTAGAGCTCTGTTAGCAGGCTGCCACTTCTGTGTGGTTGTGTGTGTGCCCATATGATAATGTACTCCAGTGTGAGAAACCATCTCTGTCAGTCTCATCCTCAGGGTTTCTTTGTGTGTTTTCACTGCAACTGTCTTCTCTTGATTTCTGCTGCAGGTTTACAAGCTGCTGGATTCAATGGTGAGTGAAATGGTGTCTTTATTTGAGGATCTAAAGCAATAACGTGCTCTGTAGTGGGAGAGCTGAAACCCTTTGCATGTAGAAATAGCTTTAAAAAAATAAATAAATAACCATATTTACACAGATTGAGTGACAATTCTTTCTGAAGTGATTCAGTGATTACAAATACTGGGCTGCCTCTTTTCTGACATGCTGTGATGTGGGACTGTTGCTGGATCATCTGTTACTGCTACAGATGATCGCTTGCCAAGAAGAGACAAGGCAAGAAATATCACTGCCTCAGAAAACGTTAGGACTAGAAAATACTGGCATTTCTGCTAAGGAAGAAGAATTTAAAAGTGCCAGTCAACATGAGATGTGTTCTTTGTTTGTCGATTGCGCTTGGATGCAGGTGAGCAAGCAGGGTGTCCCTTTGTACTCAAGAGCACCAGTACAAGAAAAGTAACTTAGACAAATCCATCCCATTTTTGATCATGTTCTTGGCTGCTTGTCCAGTCTCCCCCTGGGAATGGCTGACAGCAGGCTTCTCTGAGGCATTCTGGATCCCAGTAAAAGCACTATCCCAAGGGATGTGCCAACCTGCCTGGTTTTGTATCCATGAATTTCCATCTTGTGCTGATCTTGCCATTTCTTTCCATCCAGCTCAAGGTACCCATGACCCATTGTGAGCCAGATCTTACTTGTTTCCTTCCAAGTCTAATCACTCTTGAATTAAATGAGTGAAACTTGTGCTATAAATATTGTGAGCATGGTAAGGCCTCGTGTTAGAGCCACCCCTCCTGTCTGTCCGTCTGCCTGTGTGTCTGGGCTCATCACTGCTTTATGTCTGGGTTTCCTTATGCATCACAGCTGGAATAGAGGTTTTTGTGGAGGCATCCCAGGCCTGAGTGTGGCATGCTGGGCTTCAGTGGGAGCAGGTTCTCAAGGCAGAGTGAGCTGGTTGTGGGGTCTGTCGTGACCTGGCATTGAGAGACCTGTGTCATGCTGGCAAAAGTGCCACCTTCCTGCCAAAGCGGCTGGACAGCATTCCCGGGAAAGGCTTTGGCCCTGTAGAGCAATGACATCAGTGCAGATCATTAATTGAGGTTTGTGATACCTCTGGAGTTCTTAGGCAGCAGATGCATATCCGTGCTGAGCACTGCTGTTACGAATTGTGCACGTCACTGCGCAGTGGCACCGGGCGTGTGTGCCTCGGGCACGTGCTCCTGTCCTTTGGCAGCCACACTGACACAGTCTGGAGCTGCACAGAGCGTGAAATAACTGTGCCTTCTGCAGAATTGGTGTCTTTTGCTTTCTCATTTTAACTCCTGTGCTGTCTGAGGAGAGAACATATTCTTCCTCTTGGCAGTACCATGGCAAAGCACAGCTTATTTTTTTTGCTGGCCAGGTGAAGCCCCTCATGTTTTGAGATGTTTTCTCTTATTGGAGTGTGGGGAAGCATTTTGGCTTCTGTGGCAGCGGGAGCCTCCTCTGGCTTAGTGGGCACAGACCCACAAAGGGAATGTCTCTGCTCAGCATTCCTGGAGTGAGAATTTCAGCAACATTTTGAGAATTAGGAGGAAAAAGGCCTGAAGTTGGGGTGTGTCTCACAGGCTCTGACAATAGCTCCTGCCTCCCTGGAGATGATTATCAGCTTGTGAATCTGCCCAACTCAAACTGCTCAAGCCATCTGTTTCTAGATGAGAGGGAGTCTGCACGTTCTAGAGGCAACGTGATTGTCTCGGAGGCAGGAATCCTTTCATGTGGTAGCTTTACATTAAGGGATGGCAAAACCCATCCATGTCGCCATGGATCCGTGTCTCCATGGATCCATATCTCCGGTCCAGCCTATGGAAACCAAGCTCCATGTATTATTCTACCCACAGGAAAATCTGTTAATATGACACCAGATAGATGGGAGTTTTACATCAGTCACATACGATGGAAGAATGTCCTGTGCTGCCGTCTCCTTCCCTTCCATGGGAGGAGCCTGGTGGCACAGGGCAGGGGGGTGGTGTAAGAGCTCTGCAAAGGAGAACAAACCTGTGAACGGTCTAATTTTTTGTCATAATTTTTGTCATAAATATTGTCAGTGCCTCTTTCAGCCTTGGACAAGAGTGTCCTCAGGGGACAAGGTACAAGCAGCACGCAGGAAGGGATGTGTGGGCCAACAACTGTGATACTCTGCTGTCTGGCTGCTGCAGCTTTCTCTGAGCCAGCTGGTTTGTTTTTTTTTTTTTCCTTTTGCGTTGATTTGTGGAAGTTACATGACAGGAACTGCAGTCGAATTAGAGCTGCCTTCCACAGAACAGCTTTAGAAATATGTACCCTCATTACAGGCCCAGTGTGAGACGTGGGCTCTGTCACCAGTGCAGGGACCCTCAGGGCTGTCAGCCCTGTGCTCTGAAGGACCCTGTAAGGCCAAGCCCTTGCAGCCAGGCAAGGAGAGTATTCCTTCTCCTCTCCCAGACGTGGGCATTATTTGTATTAGTGTTAATAATTTGTGTTGTGTTTGCTAAATAACTGAGGTGAGGTGAGCGACCTTCCTGGCCTTGGGAGTTGCATACCAAACCCAGCACGTGAGTGGGGGCCTGAAGACATCATCACTCCACCAGAGAGCCTGGGAAGAGGGGGAGTTCTAGGAAAATGCTGCAAGCAGAAGGTGACAGTGCATTTCTCAATGGCTGAGGGGGTCTGGGTGAGCAGCCAGGCTGTGCTGAGGGCAGTCAGTGCCTTGCTGGGTTCCACTTCCCCTGGTGGGGTTGTGGGCCCCAGCAAAGAAACCTCACGTTTGTACGGCTCCAAAAACACCTCGTAGGGTGTTTTCTGCACAGAGAGGTTCACTTTGCTTGTAAAAAATCAGTGCCTGAAGGAGAGCAAGCTGTCTGCCTCACCATATGACTCAGTGAATCAGGAGCATGGGAATGGAGGAAGAGGAAAGCCTGGATCTTAGGCTGCCATGGAGAATGCTTCCCACCGCCCGAGCTGGGATGTTCTCTGCGCTAATCTGGGGATGGTTTGGATGCTGGATGTGCTCTTCTCCCAGGCTGCAGCTGGAAGAGGGACTAGATGCTTATTCAGCCTGCATGGCCAGAGCTTGTTGGGAACGTCAGGTTGCTCAGATCTGCAAAGCCCTGGGAGGCACTGTGGCCTCCCCCTGGGACCCAAGGCAGGACCTTCGGGCAAGACAGACCTCAGCTCTCCTCTGTGTGGCAGAAGCATCAGCAGGAAGGCACAATCCCCCTCCCGAATGTCTCAGCACCCCCAAGATGCTTTCCATCATGGAAAATGTCAGTGATATTAAAAAGATTATATATATCCATAATACTTGAAGGGCTGTCAGTGATTAAAATGGAAGGCAGAGGCTGGGAGAGAGAGGGGGTGGCATTGAAATGATCGAGAGACATGACTTATTTTGTCATGTCATCTGATGCCTCCCTCTCTCCCCCCAGCCAGGCTCTGGGAGCTGTTCAGAGCAGGGGAAGAATCTGCTCCAAATTTAGATCCTAGCAAAAAAAATGAATAATAATTTAAAGAACCCAAATTGCTAGCGTGGCCTGGGGTAGCAGAGAAGGAGCTGCGTGGTGGGGAGGGTCGGCATCCCTCGCAGCCGCTTCCGCGCCCGTGGACGTGGATTTCTGTCTAAAAATAATGGGGGGAGGAGGGAAAAAAAAAATACAGGCGAGGAAGGCAGCAGCAGCGAGCAGCGCCTGGCTGGCTGCCAGCGAGGGGCAGTGACTGAGCATTTACAGCATCCCCGCCTCCCGCATGCGGCGGGGCAGGGGCTCGGCGCCGCATCCCCCGCGGCCGGTACCGCACCGCGCTGCGCCGCACCGGGGGGGCCGGGGGGGCTGCTGAGCGCCTCGGCCGGTGCCCGGGCGGCCCCGAAGGGGTTAAGCCGGGACCTGCCGTCGGGACCTGCCCAGCCAGCCCGGCAACTCGGCGGCGCGCAGCAGGAGCGGGCGGCTGCGGCCGCCTCCACCCGCGCTCCCCGGCGGCACCGGCGGCGGCACCGCGCAGGTAAGCGGGGCCGTGCGCCCCGGCAGCCGGGATGCGGGAGGGGGGGGAAAGGAAGAGGAGGAGGAAGGTTCTGGACACCGGAGCATCGCGGGCTGCGGGGGATGCCGGGCCCCGGCGGGCAGCTCGGTGCCGTGACGCCTCCCGGGCCGGGCTCGGGGCCCCGCGGCGCCTGCGGGAGCGGGAGCGGGATCCGGGCGGGTGCGGGAGCCGGCGGCGCGGCCGAGGGCTCTGCAGGAGCCGTTCCCCGCCGCTCCCCCCTCCATGGCGGGCGCTGCTCCTCCCAGCCCTGCACCTGATCAGGGATGGAGCTGTAATCCCCTCTCCGGGCCCCCCCTTCTCTCGCCGGACCCTTCTGCCCCCGCTGCAGTCCCCCCCTCCCTCCAGCTCTCCCTCCACGCCGTTCCTACTCGCCCCCCCCGCCGCCCCCGCGTCGCCCCCGCAGTCCCCCGCACCGGGCCGCGGGCGATGGGGACCTGGCCCCGCAGCCGTGTGTCCTTCTCCCACCTGGCCGCCTCTTGCTCAAGGTCACTGCAGTAATTCCATATGAGCTGCTGGGTGCTGCCGCCTTATCTCCCGCACAGCTTCTGTTTCACTCCCTTTATATTCCAGGGGGGGCTGTGGGGGGATATTGTGTTTGATAAACCCACAGCTCTTAACCCTGCTGGCAGCTCCAGCCCTGATTACATTCCTCTTATCCCTGCCCCAGCCCATGCTTCCCATCTCTTCCCATTCAGACTTCCCAGGCCATCTCATGGTGGGCAAAGTCCAGCTGGGATCAGGTCTCTGGCCTGGATAAGCAATGTCGGGAGCCAGTCACGCTGGACCTGGGGCTTGTCCTGCCAGGAGACCTGTTGGCGGCAGGAGGAACCATCCTGCCTTCTCCTCCTTGGAGTGCTGGTGGTTGCTGGTGCTTTCCGGGCCGGTGGCACCTTTGGAAAACGTGACTTTATCTCCACCTGGGTGTTGGTGGAAAGCAGAGCACGCAGCCAAGTCCTGGAGGACTTTGCTGCTTTGCTGCCCTTGTCCTGCAGGTGTTTCCGTGCCAGGCAGGCAGTGGCACGGCCGTCTGTGCCGTGGGCTCTCCCGGCGGGATCCAAAGGCCGCGCCGACGGGCTGCATTGCGAAAGGGAATCGATGCAGGGAAGCGTCTCCAGAGAAACTTTGCCCGCCCGCGAGCGTGGCGGTGCCAGGCTCCTCTCTGACTCACGGGAGACGTTGCTGGCGGAGCCGTGGGGCGCCTGGCCGCTGGCCCACGGGAGCAGGAGGTGCCGGACTGGTCACACGGGTTGTATGGTAGCGTGGTGGGTGCCGTGCGTGGCTCCTGGGCATGTCAGCACGGCCCAGCTCCGGCAGGACGGAGCACTGTCCAGAGCCAGTGGAGGGCTGGACACGGTGTGACAGGTCCAGGGAGGTACCGGCATCCGAGGTGGGTGGTGGGTGGACACCGGTAATCGCTGCCTGCAGACACTGCTGTGTGGGGGAGATACTCCTCTGCCTGCAGGCGTTATCTTGGATGGGGGAAGAATTGCCAGTGAGTTCTGTCGCAGCCGCAGTGGGGGCTCTGGGAGCAGCCCGGCTCCCGGGCCCTGCGGTGCGGCCCTGCCGAGGGAAAGGCAGCTCCCGGCAGCCTCTGCCTCTGCCTTGACTTGGCCCTCAGACAAAATGAGGGTAAACAGTGTCTTCCCACTGTGCAGGGAGGAGGTGAAGATTAAGGACCAGCATGGAGCAGGGGACAGGAGTGTGATGGGCTCATGTGAAGACAGGTCCAGACTGCCCCATGTCACTGCATCCGTGTCAGTGCAGGGCATCCCAAGGATGGGCATTACCCATGGGGAGGTACCACACCAGCACCTGCAGCCCCAGCCCTGTGTCTGGGCACAGAGGAGGTTCAAACAGCTTGAGATTTTGGGGAGAGGGGCATTGCATTATCCGTCCTGCTCACTGATCTGGCACTGGCTGTTAGCACCCTGACTTTGCCAGCCTCTTGCTGGAGCAAAATTATCGAATTTGCTGGGAAAACCCATCTGATCAGCTGCCAGCTGAGTGAGTCGCGACAGGCTCTGACTCACGGCGGGGTTTTGTGTTTGCACGACGCATCCTTGGCGGCACTGAGAGCCTTGGGGTGATGACTGGGACAAGCAGGGCTGTGTGCAGCTGCAGGTAGTGCATCTGGGGGCACAGGGGAGCCCCTGGCTGGTGCAAGGTCTGGGAGGGGTCTGAAACCAGCTTTGCTGGGATGGTGGGGCTGAGGCAGCTGGGATCTGGAGGAGGGAGCTGCCATTTTCAAATGGTTACTTTTAGAAGCAGAAGTGCAGGGTAAATTCTTCTCCAAATGTTGCTGAATCTGGAGTCAAACCTTGTGCCGGCTCTGCAGTGCTGGGTAGCACTTGCTATGAGGTGTTTTCTCTTGTGACCACTGTGTGTGTCTTTAGGTTAGCGAGCGGTGGCAGCCCCCTAGGGTGCACCTGATACCGCGATGATGGGCACGTCCACACTGAGAAGTGTCCCTGGTGCCGACCGAGGGCTCTGGGGATGGGTCTCAGTGGCTGGGGCAATGCTGAGGTCTCTGTGTCACTGTTCCCCTGCTGCAGGCGCCGGTGAGGCTGTGGCTGTGATCACTCATTCCTTCTGCACCGTTGCTGCCTGCCGCTGGCAGGTTTCCGGCACCACACAGCCATGACGACCTCGGCGCTGCGCCGGCAGGTGAAGAACATCGTGCACAACTACTCGGAGGCAGAGATCAAGGTGCGGGAGGCCACCTCCAATGACCCCTGGGGACCCCCCAGCTCCCTGATGTCAGAGATCGCCGACCTCACCTTCAACACGGTGGCCTTCGCCGAGGTCATGGGCATGATCTGGCGGCGGCTGAACGACAGCGGCAAGAACTGGCGTCACGTCTACAAAGCCCTCACCCTCCTGGACTACCTCATCAAAACCGGCTCCGAAAAGGTGACCCACCAGTGCCGGGAGAACCTCTACACCATCCAGACGCTGAAGGACTTCCAGTACGTGGACCGCGATGGCAAGGACCAGGGCATCAACATCCGGGAGAAGGTGAAGCAGGTGATGGCGCTGCTGAAGGACGAGGAGCGGCTGAAGCAGGAGCGGGCGCACGCGCTGCAGACCAAGGAGCGCATGGCCCTGGAGGGCATGGGCAGTGGCAGCCACCAGGTCACCTACGGCCGCCGTGCGTCACCCTACGGCGAGGACTACGGCCGGGCACGGGGCTCGCCCTCCTCCTTCAACTGTGAGTGTTGCTGGTGGCTCGCTCAGGCTCACTTAGTGGGGGCAGGTGTTGCATTAGGTTTGCACCTGCTTGGTGCCCATTGCTCTCCTCTCAGGGTGGGGGGGCTGGGGGTGGTGGTGAAGCCCATCTCCATCCTGCACCACAGAGCAGAGATTTGACTGTGGTGAACCCCAGCAGCAGAGGCAGCTGGCGGTGCCTCCAGCCTTAAACCCCTGGCTTGTTCATGGTCAGGAGCTCTAACATGGGGCTATGTGCCCTGGGGAGGCCGGGTGCTGGGATGTGGGCCTGGAGGGGAGGCTGGTGTTGTGCTCCCCCGAATATCCCAGTACTGACACCACCCCCTTTTCATCTTTCATCTCCCAGCATCATCCTCATCCCCACGGTTCGCCTCTGACCTGGAGCAAGCACGGCCCCAGACGACGGGCGAGGAGGAGCTGCAGCTGCAGCTGGCGCTGGCCATGAGTCGGGAGGAGGCAGAGAAGGTAGGGTGGCCCTGCCTGTCCTGGGGCACAAGGCATCTCCCTGCACTTTGCCTTATATATGGGCACAATGGCTCAGTTCCCTGGGAGGAGGGAGGAATTTGGGGGCTGCCCGAGGCTGGTGCATGCACCTGCAACCACACCGGGCTGCTCGCGTTGTGCCTGGCATCCAAAATCACCAGCAGGCAGGTGGAGGCATGGGCTGCTCCTGCTTCCTGTCCTCCTACCAGAGAGGACAGCACCAGGTGGGGATCTGTCCAGCCTCCCAAACCCCAGAGTGAACTTGGGGACTCTACTGGGTTTGCCACAACTGCCCTCCACCTGGCTGCCCTCTTTCGCCGAGGGTTTTTGCTCTAAGCTCCCCCATTTCTCTTGCCTTCCCACGGAGGTTTTAGGGGGCAAAGCCTTGCCCTGCAGTTTATGTGGTGGATGTGGGGCCAGCAGCACCCTCACTGGGCTGGAAACTTGGTCCTACTATCTGGTCCTTTCAAACTGGGATAGAAAGAGCACTGGGAAACAGCCCCAGGAGGAGCCCAGCAGGTATGCAGGCAACAAGTGAGCTGCTGCCCCAGAGTGAAACCACCCCAGGCTGTCCCCTCTCCTATCTGGTGGCCACAGCCCCTTTTCCACCAGGGACAGGATTATTTGCACACCGGCTGGCACGGCCCACACAGAGCCTGTGGGTACAGCCAGCACACACAGTCAGAGGGACATGGGACCGAGGGACATCCCCTGGAGCTGGCACCCAGCACCACGAGCTCAGTCCTGCCAGGCTGGGGACATGCTCTGGAGACAGCGCTTGCTGCTGCCCGTCTTCCCTGCCCAATGGAGGCTCTTTTGGAGACAGAGCAGGGCGTGTATCCCTATTTTTGTCCTGGAATTGGAGTATTTATAGCTTCCTCACACTGCTGCGATGAGCACTGTAGGAACACGCTCTGGAAAGCGCTGCCTGTTGGAGTCCATCTGGGCTGCACACGCATGTGCACACGTGTACAGATGTACACACACAGTCACCCCCACTGGGGTCCCCAGTCCCAGCCCCAGTGGGTCCCACACTGCTGGACAAGTGTCACGGGGGGTGATCAGGGCCACCATGGTGGTACAGGGACAGCCTCTCCCCAAAGTCTGCCTCAGGTCTGGGTGCGGGGCTGCAGGATTCCCAAAGTGAAGCCAGTCAGTGTCACAAACTCTTCTCTCCAGCAGACTGCCAGGGCAAAGGGGTGCCTAGTTCATCCCTTCACTGACTTCATCAGGGTCCCTGAAAACCTCTCAGGGAAGATGCTGGCTGCCTAATTTAGGGTCATCCCAGCCTCAATGCAGAGGCAGGTAATGGGGTCAGGGAAAGAGCTGGTCAGGGGCCACAGGGAGCCTGAGCAGGAGCTGGTTAGAGAGCACAGGGACACTGGGCTGGGGGTCCGCAGGCAAGGCCAGCTGGATGGGCACAGACGTTGTGCAGGCAGGCGAGGGGCTGCAGGAGAGGCGGTGGCAAGGTCAGGGACCTCTGAGCAGTCCTATGACCTGAGGGCAAGCTGAAATGTCACCCAATTTCCTCTGTTGGCAGAAGCCACTTCCAATTTCCAGTACAGACGAAGAAAGGCAATTGCAGCTCGCGCTCGCGCTGAGCAAAGAGGAGCACGAGAAGGTACCTGTGTCCTGCAGTCCTGGCACTCCGCTCTCCTTGCACTTGGGCTTCTCTCTGGGGTGCTGGAGCCCAAAACACCACCTTGCTCCAGTGCCCGCTTTGCTTTCCCTGCTCTGGGCTGTCTGCTGAGTGCTCTCCTGGTGGGCTCAGCCCTGAGGGAGCTGTCTGCTCGGATGCTGGGACTTTTCGGGGATGTGGTGGCAGCTCCTGTGCTGGTCTGTCTTCTGGAGAAGGTGCTGGCTGAAGGGTTGCTGAGCTCACAGACCCCATCTCTTCTCCCCGCAGGAGGTGAGGACTTGGCAAGGGGAGAACTCCCTGCAGCAGAGAGCCGTGGAGGAGACTGCCCAGGGCAGGGAGGAAGAGCAAGAAGAAGATAAGATGAAGAAAAGCCAGGTACAGCACTGGGGGCTGGATGGCCACAGAGCCCGCTATGGGCTCCAGGGCAATCCCACAGGTCTGCCTCAGGCTTCCCTCACCTCTTTATTCCCTTTCTCTTTGCAGTCCTCCATCCTGGAGCTGGCAGATATATTCGGACCGGCGCCAGCACCCTCCAGCCACGCGTCTGCTGACCCGTGGGATGTGCCAGGTGAGGGCAACTCGCAGACTGCCAAAATTCGGGACGGTATCAGAAACCTGTCCCTTGCCTCTGTTCCTCCCCAGTCCCCAGGAGCTCAACAGTGAAGACCTCTGGGTTCTCCTCCGTTGTACGCATGGGTGTTGCTGCTGGAAGTCACGGCCCTCGGGGCACATCCCTGCCACTCAGTATCCCTCTGTGCCCTGCACTGTTCCCCTGTCCCACAGCTTCCCTTCTTCTTGCAGATATGAAAGCCAAAGCGGAGCCGGTGGCCTCTGCCTGGGCCGGTGCAGCAGATCCCTGGGTGCCAGTCCCGGACACCAGTGGGGAGCCCCTCTCCCAGGCGAGCGCCTCAGCCCAGCAAACATCTGCCGGGCCCTGGGATTTTCCCCCCAGCACCACTGCGGCCTCTGACCCTTGGGGGAAGGCACCTGTTTCTTCTGGCTTCCCTCCTGCTGACCCTTGGGGGACAGCATCACCCCCAGCCCCTCAGGGCTCCGGTTCCACTCCAGCTCCTGACCCTTGGGCTGCTGTGCCCGAGCAACCTCCGAACGCTGGTAAGAGGCTTGATGGACCTTTTGGCTTTGCTGGGGATTCTGGACAGCCCTGAGCATCGCTACCCTCCTGCGAGTGGGCATCTCGGCGCTCTGCCCCCATCCTCCTGCAGCCAGCTCCCCAAACACCCCCTGCCCGCTCTCCTGCCCCGCAGCAGGACCTCTGCTCACCCCTCAGCATCCTGAAGACTTCAAGGAACTTTTAGGCTCTATCTCTGCACAGAATAGGCTGTTTTAATTAACACGGCAGTTAACGGAACCCTCCCGTGGGAGCGGATGGCAGCCACCACACCACTCCAGCAGCAGGTTGATGGTGTGTCCCGTCGGTGATACCTGTTTGCTCACCCCAAACCACCCCTGCACACCACGCCAGGACCAGACGGGACGGTTGCTGGTCGCAGGTGCCACGTTGCAGATGGGGAGGCAACTGTAGGAGCAGCCTGTGTTTCGGAGCTCAGTGCCACTCTCAGTTCCTCCTTGGTGCTTCCTCCAGCCCCGTGCAGGTCCTGTGTGTCCTGTCCCCAGTTTTGGTCCCTGGTGAGGGGCACAGAACCTGCTCTGAGGGCCAGTGCTGGTTTCTAAAGCATTTCTGCAGACCTGTCCCCTGCCCTGGGAAAGGGACCAGCCCGCTGCAGGGGGATGGCCATGAGCAGTGGGGGTGTCTTGTTCTGCAATGACCCCATGGTCTGTCTCTGAGCCTTCTCCAGTGCACATTCCTGACCCCCAACCCCACTCCAGCCCCCCACTGCACCCCCTCTTCTCTGTCTCCTTGCAGGCAGCCACCCCTGCCTCTCTCCTGCCCACACATCTCCTGCCTCCCACCTCCCCGCTTGCTCCCCTCCTTGAGTGTCCCCTCTTCCCCCCAGCTCCAGGGGGGAACGCTTTCGACCCGTTTGCAAAGCCGCCCGAGCCGCCGGAGCAGGAGCCCTCGCAGCCGCCCTCCTCGGCCAAGTCCAGCAGCCCCGTGGGTAAGAGCCGGGAGCGGGCGGGTGGGGACGGTGACCTGTCCCTGCCCGTGGCAGGGAGGCAGCTCCGGGGCTGGCCAGGGCTGCGTGTGGCTGCTTGCTGGCGTGGCCAAAGCTTGTCCCATCTGTAAACTTGTCATGGGCTTGGGCTCTCCTGTAGGCGAGAGAGCAGCTCTAGTCCCTGCGTGTACCCGTGTCCCCAGCCCTGCCAGCTCCCATGGTGGCTCCAGGGGGCACTTGGGCAGGCCATGCTGCAGGCTCAGCCCATCACACTGAGCTGTGACCTGCGGTGACAGGGGACGCCATCATCCTTGGTGTCTCCCAGTGGCTCACGCGGCTCATCTCCCCTCCCTCCATCCCAGAGCCGGACCCCTTTGGCGACCTGTTCCCCAGCACCAGGCAGGATGGGGCGAAGAGCTTTGACCTCACCAACCTGGCTGACTCCCTGCCCGAATCCGGCAAGGAGCGGAAGGACTGTAAAACCCCCGAGGCTTTCCTCGGCCCCGCCGCCTCCTCCCTGGTCAACCTGGACTCCCTGGTCGCACCTACACCGGCTTCCAAGACCCGCAACCCCTTCCTCTCCGGTAGGTACTGAGGGCTGCTGGCCAGGGGCTTCCCTGGGCTGGACAGGGGGTGTTTTGGGGAGGAAGAGGAGGAGAAGTGTTGGGGATGACCTGGCCGCCCTGATGTGTCCCATCCTATCCTTGCCAGGTCTGAGCACGCCGTCCCCAACCAACCCCTTCAGCCTGTCCGAGCAGCCCAAGCCGACGCTGAACCAGATGCGGACCAGCTCGCCGGTGCCCGGGCTGCCCGCCGGCCACCCCGCCAACTCCATGACCTACAGCGCGTCCCTGCCGATGCCCCTCAGCAGCGTCCCCTCCGCCACCGTCGCCCTCCCCGCCTCCGCCAGTGCCTTCCCGCAGGCTGGCACGTTCCCCGAACTCCCCGGCGCCTTGCCGCAGCCTCTACTGCCGCTGAGCGGCCCCCCGGCTCCGCCGTCCGCGCCCGGGGGACTCAACCCCTTCCTCTGAACCCTCTGGACATGTGGACTCTCGCCCCTTCCCTGGCTGTTACAGCCCCCCCATCTTTCCTCCCGCCAAGACTTGAGGGGGCAGCGGTTCGCTAAAGCTGCACCGGAGTGTGCCCCCCACCCAGCCCCGACCCCGTGCCCGCTGTGCGGGGCAGCCAGCATGAGACCCCCGTGCTTGACGGGCAGCAGGGGACCCCCTTCCCCTGCGAGGGCCAGTGCGGGGGGCCGCGGTGGGGCTGGCTGGGGGGCAGCCAGCATGAGCCCCGGTGCTTGACGGGCAGGAAGGGACCCCCTTGCCCTGCAAGGGGGCCACGGCAGAGCCCCTGTGAAGGGCTGTGGTGTAGGGGCTCCGCTGCAGCGGGACCGGGCGGGTGCGCGGGGGTCCGGCTGCTGGATGTGGACCCCCGGCGTGGGGGGGCTTTGTGGGGAGCTGGGGCAGCGCGGGGCCGGGAGGAGGGAGCTGGGGGGTTCTCCCACCCCGCGTGGTTCGCGCTCCCTTGGCTGCTGCCCCTCGCCTCCGTCTCGCCGCCCCTCGCCCACTGCTGGGCGCCGCTCCGTGTCCGGGGAGCGCCTGGGCTTGGGCGCGGCGGCGGCGGCTGGCTGCGGGTGCCCGTGCGACAATAAACTGCGCTGAGCGACACGGTGTGCGGCTGCGGGACGGGGATGGCGCTGGGATCGGGGCCGGGATACGGATCGGGATCGGGGCCGGGCGGGGGCGGGCACGGTGGCAGATCAGGGGGCGGGGCCGCGGCTCAAGGGGCGGAGCCAGAGGCACGACGGGGCCAGTGATTGGAGCTACAGCGTCTCAGCGGGCGGAGCCAGAAGGGGCGGTGGCTCGGGGGCGTGGCCGTGGGCGCGGCGGGGCCGATGATTGGAGCAATAGTGTCTCGGGGGCGGGGCCGTTGGAGGCCGGGGCGGGGGGCCGGGCCGATCCGCCGCCATGTTGGCGGGGCCGCTGCGCAGCGCCCGCAGGTACTGGAGGGGCCCGGGGGTGGCGGGTCCGGCCCTGGGGGCGGTGGATGTGTGACCCGGCAACCCCGCTGCGCCATCGCTGCCTCCCCGCACCCCTTCTGTGCCCCCCTGCATTCCCCAAGTTGTTTTGCAGCGCCCTGTACGCCGCCCTGCATCTCCTCCTGAATCCCTCCTAAAGCCTCTCCTTCATTCCCCAGCATCCTCCCTGCATCCCTCTGCACACCCCCGTATCCTCCCTAAATCCTCCCCGCATCCCTCCACCCCCTGCATGGCTTTACGTACTCTCCGGACAGCCGATCTGCGCCCCATCTCACACTTCCTTCTGCATCCCTGTATCCCGGCCCTTCATCGCTGCACCCCTTCTGCATCCCTGTATCCTAGCCTTACATCCCTGCATCGCAGCCCTTCATCCCCGCACCCCTTCTGCATCCCTGCACCTGAGACCTGCATCCCAGCCCTGCATCCCTGCACACCATCCTTGCAGTCTTCCTGCATCCTCACGCCCCAGCCCTGCATCCTACCCAGCAGCAGGGGAGTCTCTCTGGTCCCCTCCTGCCCTTCACTCCCTTCACCATGAAGAGCCTGTAACCACCCTGCCCACACCCACACCCTCCACCCACCCCTGCACCCCCGGAAGGGCATTTTCCTCTCTGAGGGGATGTTCCTCTCTGAGGACATGCAGGTCAAGTCCCACAGACGCTGTTCCTGCACCCACAGCTGTCAGGTGTGTCCCCAAAGGGTACTGGGGGGGGGCAGCCCTGGGGATGGCAGTCCCCTGCCATGGCTGTGCCAAACTGGAGGAGAACAACCTCCCCTGAGCCTCCAGTTGAGTGGAGAGGACTTGTAGGGTCCGGGGAGGGGGAAGGAAGTGGACTAAGTGCCACCCACAACTGGGGCTGGGAGTGGGGGCACCAGCAGGGACTGGGGTGATGGTGGTTGTGCCCTGGGCCATCGTGGCTCTCTGTGAAGGCTGAGCTGCCCTGTGCTGAGCAGGGAGCCCAGGACCCTGTTTGGTGTCACAGGTGCACGTTCCTGACGGGGCTGGCAGCCATGGCCACGGGGGGGTCACCCAGCCCCCCCGGCGTCCCTCGTCACACCAACCGCCTCATTAACGAGAAGTCCCCGTACCTGCTGCAGCACGCCCACAACCCCGTGGATTGGTAAGAGCAATGGGAACCTTTCCCCCTCTTCCTCCTCCTCTCCTGGTGCCTGTGGGGCTGAGGGACTCGCTACCATATGTACAGGTTCGGGGTCCGCCCTCCTGATCCAGCTCTGGCTGTCCTGACTCCTCTGACCAGGCAGCAGTTCTGGAGGAGCCTGGTCCTGGCAGCTGGAAACCCTGAAGTTCCTTTCTTGTCTTCCCCCCCACAGGTACCCTTGGGGTCAGGAAGCCTTTGATAAAGCAAAGAAAGAAAACAAGGTGATATTCCTGTCAGGTAACCAGAAACAAGACATATTTCGTGTCCCTGTGGGTGGTTCAGTAGATGATCAGATAAGCTGGGCTGCATCCCAAGTAGCCATGTAGGTACTGATGGACACCAAACAAGAGAGGGCCACGTGCTAGAAAAGCTCTCTCCAAAAGCGGGCTCACTTGGGAGCAAGATTTGGCCAGATTTTAAGAGGAAGAGCTGGAGAGCCCAGGGGGCCTTTCCCCTCCTTCTGGGGAGGCCCAAAGGAGCCCTTCTTTCCCCTCCTCTCCTTTCCCCTCCCTTTCTTCTCTAGGGGGGCAGTAGCTGTTGCCCATAACAGGGCTCCCCATCTCTGAGTGATCTCCCCATCACTCAAATGTGTCCTGCTCCCTGCAAAGGGCCATTCCTCACTCACCTGAGCTTGTTTTCAGTGGGCTACTCCACCTGCCACTGGTGCCATGTGATGGAGGAGGAGTCCTTC